TCTGACACAGATGCAGACTCTAGTCCGGCAAAGACTAAGGGTCTGTTCCCGAGCTCCGATTCCAGGGCCCTGACTGAGAAATCTGAGATGGAAGGTGYGGAGATGACTCTCCTGGACGAGACTTCGGACACGTCACAGATCGGGGAAAGAAACGGGATCGTGGATTTAACAGAGAAGGAAAACGAGGAAGAAGCTGCGAGCACTAGGGAAGGGAGGGTGATTGAGGGTGGGGATGATGCATATACTAGGGAGGTGGAGAGAGAGACTGAGGAAAGAAACGAGATTGAGGTGCTAAAAGAGAAGGAAGTTGAGGAAAAAGCTGTGAGTTCTATGGAAGGAGAGGTGGCGGAGGTTGGAGACGCAGTAATTACCGGGGAGAGGGGGAAAGGGACTGGGGGAGCAAAAAAAGGGGTGGATGAACAAAACGAGATAACAACAGCAGCACTCGCTTTCCTGGCGGATGTGGAAACAGTCCTACATCTCAAGGACAAGGCAACCCCCCAATTTGGTAAAGAATCTAAGGTAAGTATAGAGATACTTTTAGTAGCACAGAGATAGAGAAGACGGCCCGGATCCCAAAGCCGTACATTTCGTAAGGGACGCTGGGCCCAGTTCCCAGCACGTGCTGCTCCCTACGAATTTTTGCAAAAAAAAAAACTCGTTGTTTTGTGGAGGGGTCGCGAGGTTGACCCTCCACAAAATAACAGTACCGAGTCGGGAACTCGCCGCACTCTGTGGCGGATTGAAAATGGAAACTCCGGAAGCAAAACTCCGCAAAAGTTCTAACGGGTTTCCTCACACCAAGTTTGGCGCGTAGTGCAACCAGGCCCTACAACGGAAGGTGACTTGGAACCAGTTGGTTCCCAATCTATACTGCAGCTCCCTCCACCAGCTTTGAGGGCCGCGACCCAAATTGGTCCCCCCCGAAAAGAAGAACGTGCGCAATAGAATCCTCGGCCATCCGACGTCCGCGCGGACTTTTTCTTCCTAACAGAATCTCAGCCATAGAAAGCAGGAACTGGAAAATCTAAAAAAAAAAAAAAAAAAGAAATTGGAAGCGCGGGGCACATGCCCCACTGCCGAGGGGGGGTGGCGGCGACCTCGACCTGGGCCTGCCGATCGCGACTTCGATCGCGACTTCGATCGCCGCGCTTGCTGATGACGAGCGAGGGCTGCTGATTTTCACTTCGGCTTTACCCGCCTATCTCTCGCCAGCGCTGTGGCGATCCCGATCTCCGGCGGGTGTAACTCGCTACAGTAGCGATCGCGCGCGAGCGGGTAGGCCTGGGCTCATCGGTGGCGCGACGACTTCACCATTGATTAGTGGCGCGGCGACTAATTAGTGGCGTAACTAATTAGTTGCAACTGATGAATCAGTTATGGTGGTCGCGCATCTAATTAGTCGCAGCAGCGGAGTAATCAGCTGGGGTGCGGCGCATATGACGAGGAGTGCATGATCATCGAAGAGGAAGATGGGTAGGGAGGGGGGCGAAAGCGAAGAGGGGGGGGGGGGGGGGGGGGGGGGGGGGGAACGGCATCGGGCGGAAGAGAAGCGCGGGAGGAAGGAGGGGAGGAGGAGTCGGGTCGAGAAATCGGAAGAGGAGCGGAGAAGACGGAGGAGGAGAAGAAGCAGGAGCAGCAGCAGCAGCAGCAGCAGCAGCAGCAGCAGCAGTAGTGGCGGCGATGGAGACTCTGATCAGGATTCCAAGGCGATTGGCGATGGCAGAGATCGGAGCGATGGAGAGGCAGAGGAGTATGGGCGAAGGAGGAGGTCAAAGGAGAGAAAAGGGAGAAGTAGGAGTAGGAGCGAGAAGAAGAGAAAAAGGAGCATGACGTCCAAGTCGAGGAGGCGAGGAGAGGAAGATGCCAAAGGACACGCCAAGGATGGATACAGGAAGAAGGAGGGGGAGGAGGAGGAGGAGAAGAAGGAGAGAGGAGAGAGGGATGGGGAGAGAGAGAGGGGTGGGGAGAGCGGTCCAGGAGAGCAGAGTAGTACGAGTGGGGACTCGCGGAGCGACGAAGATGGGCAAAGTGACTCCAGTGATGCAGGTGATGACGAGTCGGGATACCAACCAAACGGAAATGCATGACCACCTTCTTCTCTAGGAGCCCCTCTCT